GTGGCTCGTACGTTGACTTTCGTTCACCAGCAACCTCACACCGCATGCTTCTCTAAACAAGTTATAAATATCGAACGAGACGTGCACGTTCTTGCGTGTATACGCTTCTTATGCATCTACATACGTACAGACGTAAGTACGAGACTAGCTGCACAAACGTGTATTCGTCGCGAGGTCCGCGTCATTCGTATAATTTGCCGTTTGATATCGCCTTCGGATCAAATGCAATTATCCACCATCGAGGTATGTACTTACCGCGCAACCACGGTAGCTTGGCTAGGAATCAACGTATAATTTGATAATATTAAGAATCCGATCGAAATCGAAACAACCTTCCGTGAAAATTTATCGAGTACTGCACACAGATATCTATGTTCATTAAGTCTAAGGTTTTAAGGAATAAATCAATTTCTAGTTAAGTAACGAACTCTGCGTTGGGGGTGAACGCGACTCTTTTCCTGCATCTACGCGAGTTTGGTTTAATGTCAACGCGATAAAATTAAACGCACGATCAGAAATATTTGACGCGAATCGAATGCCTCTCGCTGCTTTTATTTTCTAGCTATCTGGTTACGAAACTGTTATTTTATTCGCATCATACGTACTCTACGATGTAAAATACCAAACACGATGGAGTTTTGTTAGAACTTCGTATTGAATGTAACAGATAGGTATTCTAATAGGTTTTCAATATTGTGGAAATTACCGCAAACTATGGATACCTTTCGCTTGGGTTTATTTTAACAAAAAATATGTTGATACAATGCACCGATTTTTCAAATTGTACGCCGTAAGGAATATCGTGTTTATGTCTATGTCGAATAAAAATTTGTAAAGGTATCGATTTTGTATAAACATTTCGAAAATACGTCACGTTTCTTCTTGTAAAATGAACAAATATAGAATCAAATAACTTGATTTACAACAAAACCATATCCTCGTTGTGAATTTCGTTTAATCCTATAATTCTCATTTGTAGCAAGCGATGTTACTTAACTAACAACATGCACTGCCAAGTAACATGCTATCATGCAGGTAATCGAGTATATCGTCCAACAATTCTATGGCACACGTTACAACAATTGTCTTTTATTTATTCAGACAATAGCACTATAGCTAGAATTTACTATCGCCTAACAGTTGCAACACTAGTAGATAATACCTACAGCCATGTGAACACAAACGTTCAGAGCTGCTGATTCTTGATAGTATTCCTAGTATACAAACATACCTATAAACGTAACATACCCTAAGATGAAAACGACGATCGATCGGTTTCTCTAAGTCAAGATCGAATGTAAGAAAATTTCTGCAACCGTCTATACCGAAATTTTATTTACTTGCGAGAAAAGCGTGACGATTGTAATTGTACTTTCTAAAATTTACTTTGATATTTAGAAAAAATTCTTACAAATGGATCAGTCGATTTCGATGGAATAAGTATGCTAATAATATGCATATTTATAACAGTCAAATAATAAGTAAATATAATAGAGTGGGATTTAACTTTTAACTACAGACATCTTTCAATTATAAAACATCTTAATAAAGAAATATATGAACAAAGCTCAATAATAATAAAATAGTTACGTTAAATCAATTTTTATAACATATTGATTTTGATAGGTAACAATACCGAGTGATTTGGAGAATTGCGTGTTAAATATTATATAATTTGCGACTTTCACTACAGACGATATACCATGTAGCTCTATATGTAACCACAATGTTTTCTTAGCTTCGCTGTCTAAATTTCGCAAATCCTATCCTCCATTTCTTCCACGTCAGTTTTCTTTCCAAAATCAAACGTTGCAGCCTTGTTGAAAAATCTGCTCTCTCGATTCCAATAAATTCGAATAAACAGTCGCTATTTTCCCAAGAAAATTAAAATCGAAACCATTCGTGCAAATATGTAGTTGGCAAGCAGGGTACCAAAGTTCGGAGTTATTCGGCAATACATACATCGAGAGACCTGGTACACCGAGAATGATTATCGTGGCACGGTTTTATTGACAAAAAGACTCGACTGACAGTCAACGTCAGCCGACCCGTATGGAAAGCGTAGAATCGAGAATAATGCGTATCGCGCGCCATGACCTAAATTCGAGGCGCGGTCCGAGGGGAACGAACGAATCGGGGCCTCGATTGAAACCTTCGTTCCAATGTCATCGGCTGGGAGCTCGATTCAACCAGTCGACAGCGTCCGCTGTCTCTGATTTTATCGACGCATAAATCGTCCGAGATTACTGTTATTCCGCTATCGGGTATCGTTACGCCGCGTCGCGGCCACGGTCTGTCGTCGATTCGTGTTTCCGTTCGCGTCTTTTCGTCCCACGATTCACCGATGATTCCACGGTCAAGCAATAATAAATTTATCACCGGTATCGCGTGCTCAGTTCGCCAAATTACAACGCTCGTAATTCGACGAGCATACCACGGTAATCTGACTCGTCGACTAAAGATGCAATCAAACGCATGTACATATAGTGTGTCTCAGAATGGATAATACAACCGAGCGAGGAGATTATGCATGCAGCAATATGCTAAAAAAGATAGAACAAAGATTTTCCATTTCAAGGCTCGCTTCTTCTTCTTTTCTTCTTCCTTTCTTCTCTCTGAGAAAATCGTATTTGAAAACTTGTGAAATACGCGTGAATTTAATCGACCGTACGTAACATTCGAATGGACAATCGGGGAGAAATGTAGATGCAAAAATAAGTTGAAAATGTGGAATAAAAATCTTCGTTCAGAGCAGTTGATGTAACCGAGATTTCCATGCGCGATAGAAGCTCCATTGATTCTCTCCACTACATACGAATACCACGCAGGGAAAAATATGATGAGCTTATTTTTCTTGATTTTCCAATTTTTAATTTATTTAGTGGTTAAAAAGAAGCATTTCAATACGGAATAGTTGAAAAGCTTAACAGACTCAAAGATATAAACCTTTTGAAGATGGAATACATTATTTCGCAAGAAACGAACGTTATTAACTTCATTTCATTGATATTAGTCCGTATATCATCTACTTCACTCTCTGATGTCTGTACTTTTTACTTCGGAAACTGGAAATTCCAATAAAAGAATCGTAACGAAGACGTTGTAAAACTGTAAAAAACATATGTGCAACGATATTCGAACGATCCTAAAAACACATTCTGAAGAATCTATGGCATCTATACATTTATTATTTAACTATTTCCACAGCTATATCCATCGCGAAGGAACATGCTCTGAATAAAATGAACGATTTTCATAGACACGATCGGTGTTCGAGCTAATGTATTATATTAATAACGCCGTTACGTGTTAGGTCGTGTACTTCGTCGAATAGAAACTTGGAACGATAAAGTAGATCGGGGCGTTGGAGGTTGCACGTGGTAAACCGTGTCAAGCGGCGCCGCTGCGTTCCGTCTCACCGAAGAAACTAATAATCCTTCGTTGCAACCGATTTCCCTTGTCGCGGAAGCAGTGAGAGCTCGTTCGACTCTCGACCGACCTGCCTCTCCGAGGATTTCAAACGACTTCCTCCTTCGACTGAGCTGCTGTATCTCCGTAAAGATCCATCGTTAATGATCCATCTGCATTGTACGCGGTTATTTCCAAACAACACAGTCCACCGTTTCCATTTCACCGACCGTTAACAATCAACTGTGAGCATCTTTTCCTGCTAACAACCGTTACGTACCAGGACTACTTCGCTCTCCTATGCTAGTCTGGCTCTTACGATAGCTGCCACGATACTAAATAACCTAACCAAACGAAACCAATGAACCAAGGTGGAACGTTTACTGACGAATTTCATCACGGTTAAGACAAATTTTAGAGTTTAGATTTCATAGGCACACAGAGTTTTCATAGCATCTCAACACGTTCGTCGCCCAACGTGATTCGGCTAAGTTCCCTGCGGGGCCCAAATCCGACCGCCGGTATGCAGAACGTAAATAGAGCGACAAGCGGGAATTCATTGTTTATCGCCTTCGATTCATTGTAAAGAAAAGATTATTTAGTTCAGAAGTGGAGAAAGCGATAAGCTTTCCAGCTAGAGTATTCCGAGGGATCTCGTGGCAGATATCTCAGATCTTTCATTTAGTCAATGATTTTTTCATCCTCAAAGTGTTCAGTAAACAGTGTGAAAATATATTTGAAAGTGAGGAGAATAGTGATGACGGAGTCCACAACTATTGTTGTGCCCAAAAGCACCCCAAATGTGTTTGGAACGTTTTAACAAATACCACGCGATATAGCATAATGTAATATATTATACAGAATATAAATTAATAAAAAGCATGGTATAATATGTTTTTGATATTTTTATGTTGTATATTCTATATATAATATCCTATATTTAATTAACTCGAACAAGAAGAGCGTCACCCATACTTTGTGACGGGGCCTCCACGGAAGTATACCCGTCACATAGATATGTGCGACGTGGCGACGAACGTGTTAAACGATCGATGGACAGATGCGAAAAATAAGCCTTTTCTTTTTAGAAAATAAGAATCTTGGGAACCTAAAATCTTTCCTTGAGGAAAGCGTATTAGAAGTGAAGGAGGCTTACAAATCGTATTACATATCGTATCGACATAATATCTAAACTAAATACAAAGTATTATGTAACATTGTTCGTGCGTAAGCGGCAAAAAGAACACGAATTGTACAACATGCGGTAAAACCACAAAGTCAGAATTGTCAGTCTTAACTAGAAGTCGGATATTTACCGATGGACCGCCCCCAATAGGCACCAAATTTCTTTGTAGCACAGCAAGCGAGAAGAGCATCTTTACTATCGATGGTGCGTTGCAACTAGACAACAACGTTAATAGGAGACTAATCTAGCCGAGCAAAGCGGCTCGTAAATTTCTTTTCGAGTGCGCTGACCGACGGTAGGCCGATAAACACAGGAATGCGGAAGTACGGTACTGCGCTTCGTCGAATGCCAGAGTGAAATCGGCATGAAAACCGCAAGGATTTTATTTAACGCCGAGAAAGAAGCCAGAGAGCCTTTCGGATGCCTTTGCTTGTGGTCGTCCGACTGATACGCGCTCGACCGTACGAGTACGGTCACTTTCAATTATCGTTCCGATGGCTTGATGTGTAACCGCAGGATTTTGCGCGAACCACTTTGCTTTGTTTTGCAGCCATTCACCGTGTTTCGTTGTTGATCCACCCGTCTCGTTAACTTTCTACCGACGCCGTTGCTCTTTCGCTCGCCTCCCGCTGCGACCGGCAATTTCTTTTCGAGCTTTCAGGTATGTTGTAAAGCAACCTTCAAGCAACTCGCTCTGTAACCCTTTATGCACGTAAGTACGTACGTAGGTACGTCGGGCGAAATCTCGTTACTTGCTTGACACAAAAAAGAAACGAACGTTTCGTCTATTTTATTTGCTTTTGCTGCACCTAACAGGCAGTCGATGTAATAACTTGATATTTTGCACGGTAATAAAATAAAAGCAAAGCGATAAATATTTTACTCGCAACGTTGGTTAGAACCGATTGTACGTTGTCTGTAGAAAGCATATTTGGCATTCATAGGATTAAAAACTATGGTTTCTAGCTATTTTGAATGGTAGAAGAAATGGCATGTGAAACGATGTTGTGCAATTAGTGTAGAATTTATTGCTCTGAACAACTTTGCACTTTGGTACGTATCTTGAAACGGTTCTCTTTAAATCGTAGTTTTATTTCTTGTAAAGTCATTCCCCATTGGATCGTAATAGTAAGAAACTAATAGAAAAACGATGTTCTAGAATATTCGAGGCTGGTATTTTGGTTTAAAAAATTTTTGAGGTTTAAAGTATTCGAGGATTTAAAAAAGATAGAATAAATATCAGTCAGTATTCAAAAAACTGTAGAGGGAATAAACTGTAGAGGGTATAAAAATTGTAATGGAAGCAAACCCTGTAGTAGAAAAAATGTGTACAAGGTAAAATCGATATTTATTTAAAACTGAAGTAAAAAGTTGGTAGAGTTCGCGCACGTACATGCATAACCAATGCTATTGAAACGATTTAAAATATGTTTATTTTATTCTTGAAGACACTCTAATAATTTAGTATATTATATAGGTGCAGATTTCGAACATGCTAAGAATGCAAGTTATTTATAAGAGAAAAAATATTCCATTGTACTAGAAATATAGGAATATCAAAAAATTCTGGCTGTAACAATGCTACATTTATTATTTATGGGATTTTGACTATCCATGGTAATCGTTACCATTGCGTTATAAATATTTCATTGTCCCTTTCTTTTTCCTAACAATAGATTTGTTTCAATCAAAAAATTGAAGATAATAAAACAGATAGCGTTGTACAGCGTTTCAGTTAAAAGACGGTTGTGTTTGCATTGCACTACATTTTTCCCGTTTTTTTCGAAACCAGATAAATTGGTCTGCATCGAGTGTATACGAGCGTTTTTAGGGGCACAATAAATCTCCGGCATCGTGAAGCACTTTCAACATCTAGAACCAGTTTTCAAATTTCCATATCGGGCGCAGTTTCAAATAAGAATAAATCGTGACGAGCAATTTCAGTATAGGAATTTCGAAACGCAAATATCATAGATGTATTTGGCTTCCTTTTGTTTCGATAAAAAGTCATGCGACTTCCTCGCGATTCTAAAAAAATGAATATGAATATTCCGTTTATTTTGTTTGATATTTATATTCTATCGTCTAAATACCATAATTCAATTAAACAAATTTCTTGGTAACGTTTGCTGATTCCTCGTGGAATATTTTTAATACTCTACGCCCTGACAAAACAATATTTAGCGCATAATTTATAAACTATCATTTCGCGCAAGTTTCTCTATCTAAGATTAATGTGAGAATCTCTGAAATAATAATTTGTGAATATAACTCGAACTTGTAATAATATATGCTACATTTTCTTGCATTTTTCATAATTGTTTCATGAGAGATAAACAGGCAAGCTGCAAACTTTGTTTTCTTTATCGTTTCGACTATTCTCGTAAAAGTACTTAGCTATACATTAACCTTTTTACATCTACAAACGTATAAATGGGTTTCGGGCAAAATATTCGCTATGTGCTAAAATGTTTATCTTACGTTGCTGAGTATTTTGCAAGTCTGAATACAGTACTAAAATAGATCAACGTATCATGAAAATCTGCATTGAAAATAAAAAGACACCGCCTATCTATATCTAGCATGATTTTTGCTACAGAACGTAGGTAATTTTTGTAGTAAAATTTAATCTTTCTATTGAAAAGAAAAAGAATGTTTTAAAATAATAGCGACTTGTAACGAAACGTGGCAACGCAAATGTTTCAACCTGATGTTTCCTCCACATACATACAGTAGCGAACCAGGGATTAAAATCCAACACGCTTTCATCGATTATGATCCTGTCTTCTCAAAACATCGTTCTTGTTTGCAAGCACTTTTCTCTCGTGCCACTGTATACTACTGTATGTACACTGGCAAATACAAACATTAATACTCGGTATAAATTGAATGCTTCCCACTGCTTTTATTTCCAATTTGTTTTATTAGAACTCTGTTGTCTATTATGCGTTTATATACTACGGAATGCAGAATACCAAATAATCTACAATTTGTCAGCGCTTTCTAATAAATGTAACGAGTAGATATCTAATATATATTTATGTCCAGTAGCGTACTTATATTATATAAAGAAAGTAGAGCGAATATGTAAAGACAGTATTTACCGCTAAATGTGTCTTGCAACAGTGACACGTCTTAAAGGTGGGTCCGCTATTGTACTGAAATACAAGATAATCTGCATCAAGGAAACGTCTTTGTGACGCAAAGTTCACGTGGCAATCGGACAAATTGGGAGCCGGCTAATGGAACTTATGAAGACCACGAAAGATCCAAACAAAAGCGTGGCCTCTCTCGTGTAACGAGCAGCGTGTGCGAATGAAACAGCAGAAAAGTGGCCTGAAAATGGGCCAACGAATTCGCCGGTAGTAAACCCAGATTGCAAACGTGCATTTATTATACGACGCCCCGGCGAGGATGTGGGGCGAGGGAAAGGCGACTGTACAATGGAGAACCGGGGACGCCTCGTTCCTGCTGCTTTTTAGTATCGAGGTGACAATGTCACGTCGCAAATTTGCATCCAACTACAGCCTTCGTGAATTTCTGCCCCCCTTGTTGCCGAGATTTTCTCCTCTTTTTTTCTTTTTTATCTTAAAAAAGATCGCGGTAACGAACAATCGACGACAAATCATGGTTCAACCTTTATGAAAGTTTGCGACACAGCGACGCTAATGATTTCTTATTGATCGAATATCGTTGCTTTGGTATCATTTAATTCTCTTTGATGCATATTTTTCTTTGATAGAAAACTAATTTGTTCATCGTGTATCCAGGATAATTTCGCGTCAGCCTTTATTGTTTGGTTTTATTATAAAAATATTAGTGAAAAATTGAGATTTTCCAAATGATCGTACGCTATCGTCGAAGGGTATCGGGACATTTGCTTGTTTCTGACAGAAGGTGATTGAACTACAGAATTGGTGTGTTAAGATTGTTATTCTTAATTATCATTATAGCTGTGTGTAATAGAATATTACAACGCGATTAGATTGATTTTTAAAGCCAATACGTCAAACTAGAACTGTCATTTTATAATCATTGGTCCTTATAGAACTACTGTGTTATTTGACACTTTTTATCATCAAATTTTTCAATTTTTACATTATACGTCAGATTGAGAAGCTTAGGTTTCTTTTTAAACCTAAACGGCTTCTGACAATGTAAAGAAGACTTCTTAATGCAAACGTATCTAAGAAGTTCGCATATACACATTGTAGATAATGTTTAATCCTGTACATTCAAGGGTTAATCTACGTCAAACGCGACTTGTCACAGAAAATTACGAAAACAAGTAAAAATATTCCTTAACGCGTTCACGGTACCGTGACCCATATTTGGGTCAACGTAATCCCTACTTAGACGTTCATTGACCAACGTAGATTAGAATGTCCAGAATGAGAAATTAGAGACATACTTTTCACTCAAAAGGCAGTCTCTAAACTTTTGCTATGGATAATTAAATTATATAAGGAAACACTGTGGGTCGATTTAATAAAATATGATAAAGAAGTAAGAAAACAGGTAGTGGTGCTTTAATTGCATTATTAGATTAGATTAAAAAATATGT